CCCACAGACATAATTTCTTTGGCTCGCTCAGCAGTATTGAAAATTTGCATTAGGTGCTAACATTTTTAAAACAGGGAGACCTCACATTTTAAAAAATCTAGATTTCCATCTTCTCTTTAAAAATCAGAAGTTGCAACACTGGGCAACACTATACGGCCACAGTGAGCTCAAATAGGAGTGACTGACCCTTTAATAACATTGGTAACGGTAACAGAGGTGTTACCTAATTGTATCGTAACAGCTTTTATTCTGCGCCATACGCTATCCTAAGTGCTTTGCATATATTGTCATTGAATCCTCACATCAACACTAGGAGTGGGTACTATAATTATCTCCAATTTCTGAATGAGGAAAACAAGGCACAGTGAGGTCAAGTAACTTGCCCATATTCACAGCTTTAAATGGCAGAGGCAAGATTTGAACCAAGCAGGCAGGCTCCAAAGTCTGAACAGTTAAGTCCTAATAAATGTAGTCTCCCAGAAGATGATGGCCAGGAATGGACTATTGTAGGCATATGGATGTCTAGATGTGAAAGTTGTTGCAATTAATGCATAATGATTAAAATTTGTATGGGGTCTAGAGTCAGATTGCCTCCATTTGCATCTGGGCTCACCACTGGGAGAACTTGGCCAACTTGATTAATATCTTTAAGCTTTAGTCCTATCTGTAAAATGCGAAAGTAGTACCGTCCCCATGGATTGATTATACTTTACAGAATTGAGGTACTAAAGTTCTTATCACAGGTAAGTGCTGACACATAGTAAGTGCTTAATTAATGTTCACCATTATTATTATTTTATCTAAGAAGCTCTTATCACTGAGAATTCCATATGTGTTGGACCAACAAAAGTCTTCGGCATGGAACACCTTCTCCAATTTCTAACATTTTGGTAGTTTAAAAGAAATGTTTACAGACAAAAATAATATGTTCCATGTCTAGGAAATAGTGTTGAAGTACTATTTAGCTGGAAAGCATCATTATATAAAATTAAATTAATTTCATTTTTTTTTAAAGATTTTATTTATTTATTTGACACAGAGAGAGAGAAAGCGAGAGAGCACAAGCAGGGGGAACAGCAAGGGAGAGGGAGAACCAGGTTCCCTGCTGAGCAGAGAGCCCGATGCGGGGCTTCATCCCAGGACCCTGGGATCATGACATGAGCTGAAGGCAGACACTTAACCAAGTGAGCCATCCAGGCACCCCAAAATAAAACTAACTTCTTTTTTTCTAAGATTTTATTTATTTATTTGACAGTGAGAGACACACAGCGAGAGAGGAAACACAAGCAGGGGGAGTGGGAGAGGGAGAAGCAGGCTTCCCACCGAGCAGGGAGCCTGATGTGGGGCTCGATCCCAGGACCCTGGGATCATGACCCGAGCCGAAGGCAGACTCTTAATGACTGAGCCACCCAGGCACCCCATAAATCTAACTTCTAACTTCAGTTTCTTTCAGTATTTATTGAGCATCTACTATTTTGTATATCATTGTATCGCTAATATTTTAGCTCACCTCATGGTAGGAATGTGATAAAGATTTGTAAAATGAGTAAAAGATAAAAGTGAAAAGTTGACAAGACTTTTGTTCTTCTAAAAGGTAGGAAACCAGGAAAAAAAAAATTCTGAGAATCACTTCACGTAGAGTAAGCAAGCAAACAAACAAACAAAATGTAATCAAAGAAATTGTTCTTGCTAGGATCAGAATACATTAATACTAATGAAAACAGAACACAGACCCCTTCTGACATATTTTATACTGTTTAAAGATAAACATTTGTGCACTGCAAGCCACCAATGGATTTAAACTCCAGTGAGGACTTTATAAGCCATCTGCTAGTCTCCTAATGAGGCTAGTAACTATCATTGTTTACAGTTAGGCACCAGGGGTCATGGATATTTGTTATAATGAAATCTGCAATGCATCACTGGCAGAATCTAAAAGAGTCTTTCTTCACAAGGGCTAATTACAAATATAATAAAACAACATTAAAAAAAACCTCTTGAAGTCCGCAGAGAAACCTAACTTGGCACAACAAGTATGAACCATAGTACCCGCTCTGTTTTCGTTTTACGAATTCTGATTACAGAAGCCAAATCATATTTAGCTACTAATAATACAAAGCCACCAATGGATCCTTTGCTTCAGATCACTTAATCACGGGATGCTTCATGAACCATCTGGATCCAGAAGCCATTTGTTCTGACCCTCTAGCATAGAGTGTGCAAATGCTTAGGAAGACCCACAGGTTATTTTAGATGTGTGATTTTAATAAGGTGCTACTTGGAAGTTGTGCTCAGACTGAATTTGCTGATTCATTAATTTAGCTGGGGCGGGGGGGAGAGGATGTGAAAAATTGTTTAGGATCACAGAGATAAGGAAACTCATTGGTTGACTGAATTTTTACCTTCCGATTGGCAGTTTTAGCATCCCAGAAATGTTGTCTGAATCATAATTGCTTTAATTTGCATATTGTGGCAGTATTTCCACAGTCCACTGGGGAAAAAATATTGGCCTATTACAATGATTGGTGATATCCCCATGAGTCCATTATGCTCAGCCTCCCAGGCTAGGAAAATACAGAGTCTCAGTATGAAGGGGTTCTTATAAAATGTTTCCTATTGGTAGCACTATCAGCTCCTGAGATGTCAAAAATGAGATAATGCTTTTTATGTCATTTAATAGAATGCCTGTGAATAGTAATGATAAGACTACAAGAGGGGTGCCTGGGTGGCTCAGTCAGTTAGGTGTCTGCCTTCGGCTCAGGTCATGATCCCAGGGTTCTGGGATCGAGTCCCACATCGGGCTCCCTGCTCAGCGGGGAGTTTGCTTCTCCCTCTCCCTCAGCTTCTCCCCCTGCTTGTGCTCTCTCACTCTCTCTCTGTTGAATAAATAAATAAAATCTCTTTTAAAAAGACTACAAGAATAAAAATATCTTATATCTATAGAGTGTTCTTCACATATTCCAAAGCCTTGCAAATAAAAACCAAAACCAAACACAAACAAATAAACAAACAAACAAAAAAAAACACTAAGTCATGCATACATCCCCTTGGGAAAGAATAAAATTTGCCAATACAATTTTTAAAATAAGAGAGAAGTTAGGTTGGATCCTGCACTACCAAATATCAAAACATATTAAGCTTCCGTAGGCTGTATGGTAAATGCTCAATGAACCCAACAGAAAGTAAAGAAAGATCCACATGCAGGGCTGTTATGAATGGAGCCCGTGAAATTGTGCCTAAGATATTTAAGAAAGTCTATATGATAAGTGTGGCATTTGAAATAAGTGGAGAAAATTAAAATTATTTAACCAATAACACTAAAATAATAAGGTAACATTTTGGGGGGTCAGGGGCAGCCTCATATCTATTCATATGCCAAAATAAAGTCCAAGAATTAAGAATTAAATGTAAAAAATGCAACTATGAAAAAAATCTTTTAAAAATGTAGGCAGATACTGATATCATCTCTGGGATGGAAAAGGCAGAAACCACTGAGCCGTGTGGCTTACAGACCACAGGCCATCCCTAGCAGTCCATCAAGCCGCCTGCGGGCGTCTGCAGAGGAAGAGCTATAAACCAATTTTGTTCATAAACATGTCATAAATTTTAAATGTAAGATAAACTAGGGTTTTTGTAGAAATGCTAATAAAGTACTAAAAATATTATGGGTTTAGAGGTTGCACATAAGCTGCAAACTGTGTGGATCATTTCGGAGGGAGCCCCATCCAGTAAATAGGATCTACTACCCTCTGGCTTATGTCCTTCCTAATCATTGACATAGTACCACTTGCTTAATTAAACACGCCTTTTTATGTTTACCCACATGTTGCATTTTAGCTCCATTTCACAAAAGTGGATTAGTGACTCAGAATGGTTTATTGAAGTATAAAAACCATAATGAAATAATAACATACAAACGACAACTCAGAACAACATTGTCCACATAGGGAGTGCACAAGATTCCAGGGCGAACATAGAATGTGAATTTGTGCATGGTGGGACAGGTGAATCTGTGAAGGTCATGATTTCACACAAGCTCTGAGAAAAGGAAAGTGTGCATAAAACTTAGGATCATGAGATCTGAACATTGACTTTTCGTTCCACTAGTAATCCATTCACTCTTTGTCCCTAGTGTGCTATCTGCGTTGAAATTTTGTCACACGATGACACGAAGCCATCAAATCTTTTGTGTCATTTTCAAAGAAGTCAGTGACCTTTCGAGCATCCATACACGGTTTTCTGGAAGAAAAGCAAAGTATTGCTTTCTAAGTATGAAGCTGGTTAGTTTTATGCCTAAAGGCAAAGAAGAGGCAGTGACAGTCCCAGGTGTCAGGGACACAACCATTAAGAAGGGGAACAATTCTTGGCAAAATGCCTCCCTCAGAGGCCACTGGTGGACATCATACCAGATCGATGGCAGACAAAGGGAGAGAGTTATTGCTGCCAGGTCTGTCTGCTGGCAGACATTTCTCTCTTTCCTGCTACACAAGAGCTCTGAGGAACAGAGCACGAATCTGCCCCTGGTAGATGCACGGTCCAACCACGGGAAACACGTTCCTTGTGGCTTTTGATTCTATCTATCTCTGAAAATCCACATGACATAAACTGGTCTTTTCTTGTTTAATTAATGATTTAACCAATTAAATGACAATTTAGCCAGTTTTTGTCCCCTGCTTATCTTATTCATGGGGAACAGTTGCTGGGCAAACAGATGCATTTTGACCTTAGTTAAGTGTTGAATAGTGAAATATGTAAATATCCTCAAATTTGCCAGCACAAAGCGTACATTGTGTGAATAAAATGACAGGGAGTGTACACCACCTTTCCACCCTGGGGTATGCTGGTAATTTAAGGAAAGAAGAGCACACAAGATTTCAAAGTCTTTAGACAATTTCCGTAACTTTGTTAATACCTTGAACCATTTTATAATTTCCAGTGACTCGTTACCAGCAATTTCATACATTTTATGGGAGAAGGAGCCAATGCAATGGGTAGTCTTTATTGGAAAGAAGAAACTTCACAGCACATTTTCAGTAAGTTAGTGCAACTGGGGCCAACTGGTGGGGCACCGGCTTGTAATGGGTTCCACAGCTGGGGCGTCCTTGGGTCTCTCCTTTGTGCAGCCAGAACCAGATGACAGTACTATCGTCCTCTTCACAGATGCAGCCCACCATTCGCTTGTTGGTGGTGGATGGGACTAAATTAGGGTCTTCCTTGGTGCCTGCAGCTGCCTTTGGGGCTAGCACATTGTATGGGTCCAGTCCTTTCCGTGCAGCCATCACGACCTCCCTCTCCAGCCCAGTCGCCTGGTCATCATCAGTAGGAACACTACCTCCAGATGCCATGGAGCACACCCTAAGAGCCTGCGTGGCCAGCGCTCCAACACCGCGAAGTAACCTTGAAGTCATCATGCCTGCAGCAAACAGCAGTACTTCCGGGAGCAGGCTCCGGAAAGAGAGGTGATTTCCGGGGGAGGGCTTTCCCTCCCTCATAGACATGTATTGACTACCACCTCCCAAGTAGAAAATCTCAGTCTTAGGGCTTCAGCTGTGACAAACTCTTGAGTTTGCATCCCACCGAATAGAGAACATAGACCAGCTAAAAAGCTTGGCATAATTTTGGGGTCTTGATTCTATCTTAATATGCGGAACTAGTTGACAAACCTTCAAATACTCGCTGCCATTCCTGAAAACCTGAACTCTAATCAGAATAAACTAGAGCGGGAGCATAGCATAGTTCTGGGGCAAGGAAGTGTGAAAGCATACTCTAGTTCCCATGGCATGAGAACTGGCCCTCCTTCCTGAGACGTAGCGAAAGAATATACGTTCCAGATCAGGAGCTGCACACCATATTCCCAGTCAGAGTGAATCTGCTCTCATAAAGATACCATATCCAGAACAGCAGCTAAAATTGGGGTATCACAGGGGTGCCTGGGTGGCTCAGTTGGTTAAGCGTCTGCCTTTGGCTCAGGTCATGATCCCAGGGTCCTGGGACCAAGCCCCACATTGGGCTCCCTGCTCAGTGGGAAACCTGCTTCTCCCTCTCCCACTCCCCCTGCTTGTGTTCCTGCTCTCGCTATCTCTCTCTGTCAAATAAATAAATAAAATCTTTAAAAAAATAAATAAAATAAAACAAAATTGGGGCATTACATGTTAAGTTCATGATAGTCCACCGTCATCTGCCATGATCCATCCAGGTTTCGCAGGGGTCAACTGGTGAGTTAAATGGGGTTCTAATGAGGACGCCATTTTGAATTGTTTGGTCAGACTTTGAAGTATGTGAGTCCTTGAGAGTGGCACTAATCTCTGCTATCCCTCTGAAATGATATATTTACTATTGTGGTCAGAAGGGGTAGTGAGCTTCCACTTGGTCTTTCCTTCTATGATAGCTCTTATTCCACAGTCAAGGAACTGGCATGAAGATTCTGCCAGCTTCCAAGTGTGATCAACCCAGTTATGGACCCTGGAACCAAGGAAATAACCATTGCACGGTGGGAGGTGGAGGTGAGCAGGTGGGCAGGACACATGGACTCAATGTGAGACAGACTTTATCAAGGACTTTATTTTCTGACACCTACATTTCTCGACTCTAACAGAGAGACCACAGTGACATTTGGCTCCCTGGCTATCAGTGTCGACATCAATGCTGTTCTCAAGAGCTCTGGAAAGACCCGGATATCCCCCTCTTTCTAGTGTATGGTGCCCACATAGATGGCCATAGTTTCCTTTGGAAAGCACAGGGGAATCAGTACCATATAGCCCATGCAGGATATTCTGTATATACAGGGGCTTTCCTGCCAGGGACCTGGCCTCTACTTCAGACAGTGAGCTCTGGGTTGAGAACCAGCTTAGATCTTGAAATTGGGCAAGAGGTTGTAACTTTCCATGGAAAATGGTTGACTCTGGTCTCCAGATCATCTGATCTTGATCTCTTCTTAAAGCTTAAAACTTTACCAAGACTTTGAGTATATTAAGCAAGACCCATTTATCTTGCCCCTGGAAACACCACGTTCTATTAACCACTATAGACTCCCCCACAGACTCTGCCACAGACCCCATTAGAGACTACCCTCTGGGGAACCCTCCACTTCAGCTGTCATTACACACTTACTGCCCTTACACAATCATGCCATCGAGGTCCTGACAATTAAGTTCTGCCTCTGCTGCTGTGGAGATTCCATTACCCTTACTGCACCCAGAGAGAGCAGTTCTGTAACTGCATCTCCTACTGTCAGCCCTGGCCTGCGGAAGGTGCCACCACTGAGTCTGTTAGTGATGCTGGGGCTGGTGCCTCTCACCACTGCACTCCTGACCACCTTCAGAAATGAAGTGGGTTTTCCGGCCCTCAGGCAAGGAACTGTAGCCGAGGCCAAGTAGAACAGAGATGATCTGTGCCCTCCAGGCACTGCTCAAACTACCAAAACAGAACAAATAAATCAATTTGTTGATTTCAGCTACAATATTTTGGGATGGTTTGATACACAGCAATAGATATCCTGAACTGTCCCGTTGTTCCTTCTCCTTCATTATTTCTTGCATTTGTCCCTTCCTCACCATCTCTCTTGCTACTCACTTATTTCAGGTGCTCATCATGTCTGACTGCAACAGATTCTACCTAGTTTCCCATCTTTTGGTTCCTTTCTTCCCCACCCCCCACTTTCCAAAGGCATAGCCCCAATCTATTCTTCAGAGTAATTTTTCTAAAACATAAATCGGCTAGAACGCCTTCAGTGGCTTCGCTCTGCCATCAGAATAAAATCCAGTCTTCTTCCCTGGGTATGTAAGGCCTTCCATGGCTAGGCTTCTGCTCACTCATTCAGGTTTCAAACCCCCTCCCCCTTCACCACACTCTACAGTCACGTTGACCTACTTACATTCCCCCAGATGGGCCATGCATTCCTCAGATTTCCGTGCATTTGAGGACGATCTCTCCACTTAGAATGCCTTAGCTCCACACATGCCGGGCTAAAAACTCCAGGCAGACAACGCTCAGCTCATGCACCACCTCTTTATGAGAGCTTTTTCTCATCTCTAGCACCTTCCCACCTCCATCTTTCTCTTTCTCTTCCTTCTCACGGCCGCCCTAGATGGGGTGACTTCACTGTGTTCCCAGAAAGCCCCCTGCATGCCTCTTTTCAGAGCTTACAACACTCTTGTATCTCTATACTTCTCTTTCTGCCTCCACCCTATTATTATGGGTTCCTCAGTGGTTGGAATAGCCTATCTCTGAATCCCCAAAGCACAGCACATTGTCCAAACAGCACACGTATGTGCAACTCAGAATTTTCTGTTGAGTAAATGAATGCAAGTCTTTGTTTTCCTGTCTTGTGTTCTCTGATTCTGGAAACACGACTTCAATATCCTTTGGAAAACCACTTCTGCTGTAGTCTGTTTATGAGTTTTGCATGAGGCTGGTCCCACCTCTCACAGCAAGAGTGAGTTCACATAGGCTCAAGCCAGTCGCCATTTTCCATTCCCCTGTCCCATGTGCCCCATGATTGATTCCGGGTTGGGGATTTAACCCTAGATGATCCAAGGGGACAGGAAGACAGTTGGCTAAGGTTTCCGGAAAGAGAGGCTTACACTCTTTATTGAATCTGGGCCCCAAAGATGGGAGGCTTGCAGCATCTTACAAGCTTGGGGTGAGGAAACCAGAGCTTTTGGGAATTAGGGTCGGGAGTTGCCACTATACACACCTGAAAAAGGGGCCAATCTAGGGGGAGAACTGGGGAGAGGAGAAGCGTGCCACACCATTCCTTCCGTCAGCCAGGCCAACTGGAAGCCATACCCTACTGGGCATCTCAGCTGTGCAAAATAGTAACTTCCTGTTTCTGCTTAAGCCGGTCTGGGAATTTTGTTAAATGACATATTCATGGTGTCCTCCCTAAAGAAGTTCATGGTGTAGCAAAAATCACTCACGGTTTATGATAATCAGCCTCATGATTTTATACTATTATCTCAAAAACTGCTCAGTTTTGTACCACAATGCAATACCACCTCCCACCTGTCAGAATGGCTAAAGTTAACAAGTCAGGAAATGACAGATGTTGGCGGGGATGCGGAGAAAGGGGAACCCTCCTACACTGTTGGTGGGAATGCAAGCTGGTGCAACCACTCTAGAAAACAGTATGGAGGTTCCTCAAAAAGTTGAAAATAGAGCTACCATACGATCCAGCAATTGCACTACTGGGTATTTACCCCAAAGATACAAATGTAGGGATCCGAAGGGGCACCTGCACCCCAATGTTTATAGCAGCAATGTCCACAATAGCCAAACAATGGAAAGAGCCAAGACGTCCATCAACAGATAAATGGATAAAGAAGATGTGGTATATATATACAATGGACTGTTACTCAGCCATCGAAAAAATGAAATCTTGCCATTTGCAACAACGTGGATGGAACTACAGGGTATTATGCTAAGTGAAATAAGTCAATCAAAAAAAGACATGTATCATATGATCTCACTGATATGTGGAATTTAAGAAACAAAACAGAGGATCAGAGGGGAAGGGAGGGAAAAATGAAACAAGATGAAACCAGAGAGGGAGACAAACCGTAAGAGACTCTTAGTCATAGGAACAAACTGAGGGTTGCTGGAGGGGAGAATGGTAGGGGGATGGGGTAACTGGGTGATGGACATTAAGGAGGGCATGTGATGTAATGAGCACCAGGTATTATAGAAGACTGATGAATCATAGGCCTGTACCTCTGAAACCAATAATACACTATGTGAATTAATTGAATTTAAATTAAAAAATGTTTTTTAAAAAACTGTTCAGTTTTACATATTATTATTTGGTTGTATTAGCTTCCCAACGAGACTGTCCGCTCTGTTGGGTCTACATCTTAGGTCTGCTCCCGCAGAATGTGCTCTCATAGCAGACACTCCATATATACTTACTATATTGATTGTGCAGAAATTAACAAAGGCCAAATGAGAACAAGCAGAGGTGATTTATTCAGAACTTGCCATAGCAAGGGAGGCAGCCATCATCACTTGAGTTTTGGCAGACTCACGGGCAGGCAGAGGAATGGGAAAGCCTTCCAGTGAAAGGAAGAGAAGGTTTCAGGTGTGCCCTGATTGGACACTTGGTGCCGGGCAGCTGGAGGTGGGCTGACCAGAAGCAGGGCATTTGGTGTGATTGGTTAGGGGTCGTATTTGGTTGGTCTTTCTCTGGTTGTCTTAAGTTGGAAGCAGGAACAGGAATTGGGGAAGCTGTCAGTTAGTAAGTCTTGGTCATTTGGGACCGATTGGTACAGAGTTACTGTTTGCTTTCTTGTATTGCTCCTAGAGATAGTTGTCTGACTTCCTGCAAGTCTGATTCATAGCTGGCTTCTGGGCTAATTGCTGCAGGCTGTGAGTCAGTTTTATTTTCACATATGGTCTGGCCATTGTCCGTTTGTAC